AGTCTCAAAACAAGACCAAAAAGATTTTTTTGACTGGATATAAGATTTTAAAACTTGGTAAGATGGACAGTTTTTGCAGTGCAGGCTGTTGTGGCTGTGTATGGTTCTTCCGCATGCTACTGAGGAGGCCCATGTTCATTAAATGGACTGACGACACATTTAGTTCTTGAATCATCCAGTCCAATAAATGACAGTCAATAACAGAATAAGCTGTCTGGCACTGACATAAGAAGTATGTTTGTTTATTTGCCAAGCCCTTCACTATTAAAAAACAAGTTTTAACAATTTTGTTTTWGATATGGATGGAGGGTTTGATCACATCCTGCAGAGACCCAGCGTGCTGCTTTAAAACAAATACATAAATAAATAAATAAATAAAGAAGCTAACTAGTGGGTTGTTTCAGTGGGTGACAGAGGAAAGTGGGCGACATGAGAGGGTAAAATGTCACGAACTCACCGACTGGAGGAAGAGCAGGGTCCGAACATAATCCCGCTCCGTGTTCAGGATCTCGTTTAAAACGCAGAGCCGGAGCCGCTGCTGTCGGTCCGAGTCTTTAGCGACTTGGATCCCGTTCTCCCGGTGCCCTTCGTCCTCTTCCATGATGAGGATCCTCGCAAACAAACCCCCCCTCCTCCTGGGACACGGTCTCAAGAAGAACCACGCGTCTTCCCTGAAGGATCCACGCTGACTGGACTCTCTGACGTCAGCTCAGTCCATCCCGCAGATTCTGGTGATGCTCGACGCACCGCTGGAAACAAAAAAAGTTCGTCAAAAAGTACCAAAGAAGAAGAAGCGGAGGAGCTCGGCTCGGCTCGGCTCGGCTCGGTGCACTCTGTGGTCGCGGAACCAGCTGAGAGCGAAGCGAGGCAGCGGAGAGGAGAAACTCAAGAGAGGAAGAGGAGGAGGAGGAGGAGGAGGAGGGACGGACTGTGAGCACACAAACAAACAAAACGCTCAAGGTGGATCCGAACCGAACCCTGCAGCTCGTTTCAGACGTGAAGCGTTGATTTAGCTTGTTGCCGCCAAACAAATAAACCAAAATTAGACGTATATAAAATACAATAAAGTTAAATATACATCGAAACGTTAAAAAAACAAGCCGAAACCGAACCAATGTTTGACGTTTTGCAAAATATACAAACAAAGACGTCATTAGCTGAATGAACGGTGATTTAGAACTGACTTCAAACATTTAATAAATGTATTTAAATTGTTAAATCAACTTAGGAATGACGTCTTACCATTTTTAATAATTCGAGGCCAGACCTTTAATTCAGAATGATAAAATAAGACCAGTTAATGATGTTTGGGAAATGGCGCCATCTAGTGGCGAGAAGCAAAACGTGCCGTTTTCAATTTTTCAGACGCTGTTAATTTAATCAGGAAAATAAAAGATTTACAATTGCTCTTGGTCTGTGACTGTCAGTAAAATATCTCGTGAACAAATTTACTATGACGATTTTTGATAAAACCTTATGAGTCGAGCAAATTCAAGATGGCTGCCACAGCCATCCTGGGCCTGTATTTACCAAACTTATTAGTGCTGAAAATGTCTCAGATTTACTCCTACTCTCTGACTTGAGTGTTAATGCAAGTTATTCAGTCTTACTCTCACAAACAGTTTAAGACTTTTCCAGAAGACTCAGTAATTAAGAGTTGCCAGAGTTGTGAAGTAACTAACTACAAATACTTTGGTTACCTGTACTTTACCAATTATTTTTCAGACTACCTTTTACTTCTAATCCTTACATTTTTACAATTATCTGTACTTTCTACTCCTTACATTTTTAAACAATGTAAGAAATAGAAAGTTGTTACTTTTATTACATTTCTGCTCATTACTGTTAAAAAACACAACAGGTAAAATAAGTATTGAACATGTCACCATTTTTCTCAGTAAATATATTACTAGAGGTGCTAATGACATGAAATTTTCACCAGATGT